ATGCCCCCCCAAACCACACACACACACACACACACACACACACACACACACACACACACACACACACACACACACACACACAAACAACTCCCAACAAGGACAGCATGGATTGTATTTTCCCTAATGGAGGCAGCACTTCATGCTTGTCAATGTGTGCGTTGGCACATGCAGCGGAACTCCATCCCTAAGCAATCAACTTCGGGACACTCATGATAAGCGAATGCCGTTACCCAGATCTTGTCTATGCATCCAATAAAAGTCAACGCACCTTTTGGTTTCACACGTTGGAGCTGCTTCCAGGGAGAAAGGCTATTATGAGCTCCTTTTAATAGCAGTTTCTTAACAAGTGAAGCACAGATGTGCCCCCCACCCCCATTTCCACCCTCTCCCCAACAAAAACAACGATTGTAGTCAACATAGCCATGCTGCTAATCACTTCCAATTTTTGCGTCGCTATGAGTGTTTCTCCTACCTTTAATTAGGGTGTTGCAACTAGGTGAGTAACCTCTTCTGGGTGGAGTTGGGGGGGGAGGGTACGAGATGTACATCGAGACAATAAAATCATTTGCAACCATTTCTTGCTGAAATTAAAACTCCTGTTTGGTATATCACAATATTCTGTGAGCTTGCAAGGGGTCAGAATGCTCTAAATTGATTGTTTCGATTGGTTCTCTGTTCGTAAAGTGGCTGGAATTACAGGAGTTCATGTGATCTTTTCTCCTTTGTGTTTGCTTTGACAGGCAAACCCATCTTTTCTGTTGACATTCACCCGGATGGAACCAAATTTGCAACCGGCGGGCAAGGTAACTTGTCAAACACGCACATACGAGGTGATTCAGTCCAATCAAGGAATAGTGTCGGTCGGTCATCGTTTGTGATCACCAGGGGAGGACTCGGGGAAGGTGATGATCTGGAACATGGCGCCTGTCCTCCGCGAGGAAGATGAGAAGAATGAGAACGTTCCCAAAATGCTTTGCCAGATGGACAATCACCTCGGTAATATTTTTATGAAAAGTAATTGTCAATGTTATTGAATTGCTAAAGACGACAAATACAATATTTGAACTGTACTCATCAAGCCCAAGGGTGCGTTCTCACCTGAAACCACCTTTGGTCCGCTTGTCTGGTCCGGACCAAAAGCGCACCGATTTATTGATTTGTTTTGAGGCGGCTCGTATTCGTGCTGGACTTTGTTGCAAGTGCACTGTTTTCTGTCAACGCAATGACGCGCGTCACCACCGCTGCTCCCATTTGACAGAAATGATGAGCGCGGCGCCGATAGCACAAACCCGGAAATGGAGGAAAACCTGTCATTCCGACACTCTGCGTGGCTGCTCTCCATATTTGTGTTGTTATTGGAGCTGCAAACTCATTTTGGCTGTCAATAGCCGCCGCTCATTCAGTGCACGCGACACAGTTTTTCTACATTTTGGAAAGGCACCCACTGACCCGCAGTGCGCTGGCAGCCATGCTGCAAAAAAATAGACCAAAGGACCACGCATGATCCACGTTCACGCCGTGCTAATATTTCCCCACCATGCCGGGCTACGGTGGCTTGTTTAGCCCCAAAATGTCGAGGTCTCGGAGTTTGGGAGTCGATTTTAAAATCTCGTTGTGTGAACCAGGCTTAAGTCAAGGCATCACTGTATCCACAAACAAGTCTTTGAATCATTTTGTTCTGATGAAGCTTCTTGTTATGACGCTTGGGGGGAAAAATACGATTGAAATAACCCTATCTCTTGTTTTCTTTTTAAAAAAAAACAAAAAACATTGGAACTCATATTTATGTGCAGCGTGCGTGAACTGCGTGCGCTGGTCCAACAACGGGCTGTACCTTGCATCCGGAGGGGACGACAAATTGGTGATGGTGTGGAAACGAGCCGCGTATGTACACACGCGCACACCTCTGCTGAAATCAATGTAGATCTGCGCTAGCTGTTTTTGAAGACTGAAAACGATGAATCGATGTGTCGAAAACAAAACAAAGTTGTCAAAAAGTGACCTGATTTCTGCCCATTTTAAAAGCATTAACATCATCCGGACCCTCGTGTTGATACTGACGTGATGTTTAGGTTCATCGGTCCGAGCACGGTGTTTGGCTCGAGCAGCAAACTGGCCAATGTGGAGCAGTGGAGATGCGTCACCATTTTGAGGAACCACACTGGAGGTGACGCACACAAAAGCAAAGCATCTTAAAGAGGACTTCTAGACGCTGTTGTTTGTACATGAGACCAAAAAAAAAAAAAAAACCAAACAAAAAGTCTCTTTGACATAATCATTATGACGTGTGCGCGTAGATGTCATGGATGTCGCCTGGTCTCCCCACGACGTGTGGCTGGCGTCATGCAGCGTGGATAACACCATCGTCATCTGGAATGCGCGCAAATTCCCCGGTGAGAGAAGGAAAATCCAGTGTTGCCGCGCCACCGTCAATCTCCAAAGCCCAGGTTGTCGAAAAGGAAACTCAAAAGTCGCTAACGTTCTCCGCCGTGCCGCCTCAGAGATGGTGACGTGCCTGCGCGGCCACACGGGCCTGGTCAAGGGCCTGACGTGGGACCCCGTGGGCAAGTACATCGCCTCGCAGGCCGACGACCACAGCCTGAAAGTGTGGCGGACCCTCGACTGGCAGATGGAGGCCAACATCACCAAGCCTTTCAGCGAGGTGGGCAGAAGGATGATGATGATAGGCAGGAGGTTTTCAGGCTCCTTCAAAAAAAAAAAAAAAAAAGACATGCCAAACAGGACGGGCCCCACACGCATGCTTTCATTCGCCAGGCCAGGCTCCGCCTTTTAAAGCCATACACATTCAAAGTCCTCACTATTCAATGTGATTGTGGGGTCGATGAAGGAATACCCACACGTTGCGGTTTCTCTTGGTATCGTTGTCCATTCGACAAATATTTAATGTTCCAGTGCGGCGGCACCACCCACGTCCTGCGTCTGTCGTGGTCCCCCGACGGCCAGTACCTGGTGTCGGCGCACGCCATGAACAACTCGGGGCCCACGGCGCAGATCGTGGAGCGCGACGGCTGGAAGACCAACATGGACTTTGTGGGCCACAGGAAAGCTGTCACGGTGGTGGTGAGTCTCGGCACGTACACAGCATTGGGGAGGGGAGGGGGGGGGGGCAGATCCGGCCCGCCATGTCATCTTATACGGCCCGCAAATGACTTCATGTTTTTTTACTAAAATACCCAAATTGCATTTTTTCTTTACTTTCAAAAATGTTGAACTATCGCAAACAGTTTTTTGTTACCAATCTGCCATTTGTGGCCCGCGACAAAAATGAGTGTGACACCCCCGATTTAGGTATAGACATGCTCAACGCAAAAAAAGTTAGCGATAGCATGTAGCCGAACCCAGATAACCTCGCGGCAAGCGACCGCGTGCCGCTTATCAGAAGCCGACGCCTGTCGTTGCGCAACACTGCTGCCCCAGCTCAGCTTTTCGGCTTTTCGTGCATGTCGTCCGCTTGAAAATGACGCATCTTCACAAGTGCAACATTATTTGCCGACAAGATATGAAAATAGTCGCTTTTATGTCACATGTCCACAAAGAGTTGATTTTTTTTTTTTCTTCTTCTTCACCCGTCCACACGTTTGCGCTTGAGCACATTTGACTTTTTCAAATGCATTTTGTGCGTGTCTGTGTGTGTAGAAATTCAACCCAAAGATCTTCAAGAAGAAGCAGAAGAACGGCAGTTCTTCGAAGCCCAGTTGTCCGTACTGCTGCTGCGCCGTGGGCAGCAAGGACCGCTCGCTCTCCGTCTGGGTCGGTAAAAGTTTTTCATTTTCCCGCACGCGCGCTACGTCATACGCGGGCAGAAGTCGAGCGACGCCAACCGATTTGAATCGAAGCAAACGTTTGGCTCGAGTGCGACGGTGGTTCATGCGCTCGGATCGCCTTATGCTTCAAAGTCAAGTTGATTGCTTCGCGCTCTTTTTGTGCGTCTACCAGCTGACCTCCCTCAAGCGGCCCCTGGTCGTCATCCACGATTTGTTTGACAAATCCATCATGGACATCTCCTGGTGAGTTTTTTCCAAACTCAAAGTGATCGATTGAAGGCTGGATGGATGGATCGGCGGTCTCGTCTCGTGCAGCCCCTGCGCTTGTGTCTATCGGCCCAAATGGTCCGCGCACTTTATTTGGCTGCCTGACGCTCCGTCAGCGGCGTGTGGGGGGCGGGGGGGGGTCTCGGGTGTATCAAGCTGTGGTCCGATTCCACATATCCGATCAGAAGGAACGTCCGCACACTTGTTATCGAGCATAGTTAAGGCGCGTCGCGTTATCTGCGGCTCTCGTGCCAAATGTGTCGGTGACATTCCAAATGCCGCCGCGCGCTTCTCTTTTCGCTTCCTCTCATTGCTTCTTTGTTTTGTGCGCGTGGTGAAGGACTCTGACGGGCTTGGGCATGTTGGTGTGCTCCATGGACGGTACGGTGGCCTACCTGGACTTTTCACTGGACGAACTCGGAGACCCCCTGAGCGAGGAAGAGAAGGTCCGATAAACCGGGCGCCGGCGGTTGGTCTCGTCAAGTCCCGCAGACGCGACGCGGCCAACGCGCGTCTCCTCTTTCTTTCAGAACACCATCCACCAGAACATCTACGGCAAGAGCCTGGCCATCACCAGCACGCAAGAGCCGCAGCTGGCCACCACCATCATCGAGAACCCGGAGATGCTCAAGTACCAGCAGGAGAGGCAGAGCTCGGCCCAGAACAACTCGGCGGCGGCCTGCGCCGATTCCTCGGCGCCCAAGCTCAACAGCGTGATGAACGGAGAATCTCTGGAGGACATCAGGAAGGCGAGCTGCCGAGCGGTTTTTGTCCACGCCAGCTCGGCCCTTCTAGCGGGTCTTGACCGACTTGCCGATGTTCTTGCAGAACCTGCTGAAGAAGCAGGTGGAGACCCGAACCCCCGACGGCAGAAGACGGATCACGCCCCTGTGTATCGCTCAGCTGGACACCGGGTAAGCGGCTTTTTGACGAGCCCCGTCCAAGCTGCGAGTGACGAGGGAGGAAACGGGGCTCCTTTTTTCCGCCTTGTCTCTGCCAGGGACTTCTCGCCGGCGCTCTTCAACAGCGTCCCCATCCTGCCGTCCTCCTTGTCCAACCAGCTGCCCCCTCAGCTCAGCGCCGACCCCGCCCCAGGGCAGGCGGCGGTGGCGGCCGCCGCCTCGCTGGCGGGGCTGCGGCCCAACCTCGACCCCGCGCTCG